TAAATTTTATTATTGAACAATGATGAACACACATTTTATATCATTTTATAAATGGACACTTGATGGCAGGCAGTGCAATGGTTTAACGTGATTGATACACCTGAGGATGGCAGAATGATGCCGAAACATGTAGTGTGAAGTGTCAAGTGAAATTGTATGCACTAAAAGACAGTAAATATATACACATTATGGATACGAATCAGTGCAAGAGGACACTAAAATACAACAAGCATAAGTCCTTCCATGAAATTTTTGATATATAAGTAGTGCAGTATTGCATGGCTTGCATTTATAAGGGAATGGAAATTAATTTCCCATTTTTAAGGAGCTGAAGTGTTTACTTTTACATATTTTTACAGTGTTCTAATATGGAGAGATCTTTGAACAAAATTTACTTAGTGTATGGGTATTATTAGCACCTTTTCTTTAGGCCAGTATGTATACAAGCAAATACTTGATCTGTATTGACAAGCTTGTCAAAAGTCTCACACATTTACCATTGCACTGTATTTTTCAATCTTGAGGCAAAAACTGAACCTGAGAGTACCAGCAAACATGTTTGTGCATGGGGGAGTGCCAAGTATTATCATTCAGGAATGTTATGTAACCATAAATTTTTTGAGTCATTGCAAGCCACATAGAAGTTTTACATTTTGTTGAAATTAAAAGTGGATCAAGTTTGAAACTGTACATACAGATTCGCATGCAAATCAGAACCTGTTTTTTAATACTATTCATGTAATTGTTTCAGGCCTGCAACTCACCACCACGAGACCTCAAGTGACTCTGCCATAAGAGGAAGGAGCTGTTGTTGTACAGTCATAATGAACAAGTTACAGCATTTCTCTGATGTCCATTATGCTGTCCTATCATTCACGCATGGCTCTTTCAGATAGCCTTTTCTCTTGCAGCTATGCCACCAGAATCTGCATGTCAATACTGAAGTGAAAATCTCTGCATGTCAAGACTGAAGTGAAAATCTATGCATGTCAAGACAAGTGAAAATCTGGGCATGTCAAGACTGAAGTGAAAATCTGTGCATGTCAAGACTGAAGTGAAAATCTGGGCATGTCGAGACTGAAGTGAAAATCTGGGCATGTTGAGACTGAAGTGAAAATCTGTGCATGTCGGTACTGAAGTGAAAGTCTGGGCATGTCAAGACTGAAGTGAAAATTTATGCATGTCAAGACGAGTGAAAATCTATGCCTGTCAAGACTGAAGTGAAAATCTATACATGTCAGGACTGAAACATGACAGGAAGATACTGTTACAGTATTACAGGAAGAAGTGTCAGTTTGATGTGTGTGGCCATGTCACACTGATATTTATTTGTCCAACAGACTGCCTCTCTTGCATTACTATGTTCGGGTAACACTTATTCATGATATCATCTGACTTTGCATCTTGCTTTGATGCCATCGATGTCCAACATCGGTTACTGTTCACTTCCTTTTCTTTATTGACACTACATGTTTCAGCCCAACCAGCCATCTTCAGGTGTACAGGCTGTTGTGATTATAGAATCTGCTACCCACTGTAATGTTGTTTTGTTTCCATTATGTGGAGGCCTCGGATTGCATCTGGTTCTTTATTTAGGTGTCCTTGAGCTGCTGGTGTTTGCTTCATGGTTTTGTTTGGCTGTGGCTGTCTTGAATGTTCTTGCTGGGGCAGGAATTTGTTGTGTTGATGGCCAACCACAGCACTACAAAAATGGACAGCTCAAGGACACTGAAATAAACAACAGGTGGTTAACCTAGATGCAATCCAAGGCCTCTGCATAACAGAAAGAGAAAAGCATTACAGTAAGCAGCAGGTTCCTTGATCACAACAGCCTGTACACCTGAAGATGGCCGCCAGTTAGGCCGAAACATATAGTGACGATAAGGAGAAAACTGTGAGAGAATGTTAACTGACATTGCACGCAGACGGCATCAAAGCAAAACGCAAAGTCAGATCTAAGCAGTGCAAGAGGATGCTGCTTGATAACAGTTTATGTGAAATTCATTCATGGTCTTCTGGCTTATGGCATGGTTACCAAAGTTTTCTGCTGGTCTATTGAAGCCAGGGGCAGTATGCTCTCTGGTAACCATCTACCAGGCAACACAGTGTCATAACTTAGAAGACCAGAATAAGACTTTCCACCATTGCAAAAGATTCAAATCTGATACTCTGTAAAATTGTTTGTATTTTCAAATCTGGTGGATACTGTAAGGAAGTAATCAGTAAACCATAGTACTGCTTTGTTTCCATACGTGACATGAGGTTGGAGAAAACTGCATAATGAGGAGCTTCTTAACTTATACTCTTCACCCAGTATAATTAGAATGGTCAAGTCAATGAGAATGAGGTGGACAGGGCATGTAGCACGAATGAGGGAGAAGAGGAATGCATATAGGATATTGGTGGGAAAGCCGGAAGGAAGAGACCATTGAGAAGACCAAGGCATAGGTGGGTGAACAGTATTAAAATGGATCTTAGAGGGATGGGATGGTATGGATTCGATTGATCTGGCTCAGGATAGGGACCAGTGGAGGGCTCTTGTGAACACGGTGATGAACCTTCGGGTTCCAAAAAATGCTGGGAAATTCTTAAGAAGCTGCAGATTTGGCTTCTCAAGAAGAGCTCAGCTCCATAATTAAGTAAGTTCTCTTTTTCCTTATAAAGGAAAGGACTTGGGATGTAGAGCATTCCCTGTAACAGTCTGTGGAGGCCCATAGGGTTGTGAGGCATTGAGGCTTCAGCATTTCCTAGACAGTCGGCTCACAAATGGAGGTGATGATGTCAGCTTTATGCGCCGGCTGTCCTTTACCTCCCAGGAAGATACCTGGTACTCATATCTGTTAGAGGCTGAGTTGACCCCAGGGCCATAGTGCAGCTGGAAGGATTAGGTCAAATGAAAAATCCAGTGACCTCATCAGGAATTGAACCCGTGACCTTCTGGCTTGTAGCATAGTGTCTCAGCAAATATGCCACCGAGTGCACGCGAACTTGAGAGGTGCCACAGTTAAAACACAGCGGACCCAGTCAGTATACAGTACTGTCAGTTGAAAGGACACGACATGGATCACATCCTATTTGTGCCTGAGGATGTGACTGAATTAAGATTTTGTTGCCTGGGACTCCAATTGAAGGAACCAGTTGAGTATGAAATGGCCCCTTAGGCAAAGTACTGTGCATTATTTGAGCTGCAGGATTGCTAGGGGGCTATGTTAAAAATGGAGTGTAAGTAGATTGTAGACTGTCACTTCATTCCAGCTCCTTTAATCTAATTCTGTGTAAGGTGAATGTTCATTAGGACAGCTGGTGAATAGAGTCTAAAGGGTTCTGACAGTGGTGTATAACACTCAGAATTACTGGGTTTTTGGAAACAGACCCAGTTTCCGAAACGCTGTGTTTTCTAGTTTCTAGAATAACGGACGATGGAGAAAGTCCAAAAACCCAGTAATTCTGACAGTTGATAAAGTTTGTAGAAATTGTTTTCTGACCTTCAGTTCCAGTTTGATGGCATTAACTACTGAACCACTGCAGCTAGACATGTGAAACTTGGTACAGAGATAGATCATAAAACATACTTTTTTTTTGCAAGTGGGGTGGGACTACATCCCTTCTACTGCAGCCACTTCTGGCCCCAGATGATAGGTAAGGGTGATTGTGGAGCAATTGGTGGAATGAAGATTGTCAGGGGAAACTGAAGTACTCGGAGAAAACCTGCCCCAGCGCCACCTTGTCCACCACAAATCCCACTTGATCAGACCTGGGATCAAACCTGGGCCACCGCAGTGGGAAGCAAGTGACTAACCGCTTGAGCTATGGTGTGGCCCATAAAACACGCTTGCATGTCATGTTTATTATGATGACAGAGGTAGTGTGGTACTTTTGACACTATCTGACAAGTTAATGTAATCAGTCTGTATTTAAGTAACATGTTCTTCTCAAATTATTGTGATGATTACAACAGCAGGAGCAATAGTAGTAATAATATGGCATTAACAGTTGGTGTATAGGACTAGATGTCTATGCAGAAAGAAAGTATGAATTTTGCTGAGAACTTCCATGTTTGCATTAAAGTCTCATCATGTTGGGCTTCCTGTCATAGGTCATGTACTTCAAGAATAATAAATATTTGAGGGTCATTATGGAAAAATTTAATTAATCCAAATTAGGAGGTACACTTTTTAATTTTTTAATTGTATAGTTTAAATGTCACCCTGATGTATTATTTCTACATGTAAGTTCTGTTCAGTTTTGCTGAACAAACTTAAGAAAAGGGTTTCTTCAAAATCTGTTCGCAGAGAAGGAAGCCATTACAGTGATGAAAGTGTGGGAAGTTGATAACATGATGTTCGTAGACATGAGAAGCTTGTGTGAGCTTGCTGCTTGCTTGGAAAGCTAGAGAACTGCCCGTGACAGTAATTCTAATCGTCTCATCTCTGCCTTCCTTCATTTGAAGCATTATATGTTAGTAGGAAGCTTGCTGAGCTAAATTAATCTGCAGTTTCTCATTTCCGTCTTCTAATGCTTAAGTTTATCGGTGCTATAAATGTAGTAATCAATATGTAACAGGAATTGTTCATTTATGGAATGTGTTCACTTGTATCCATGAGTTTATAAGGCAGAATACCAGTTGGGTCTTTTCCTTTCTCTTTTATGCATATTTAGCATTTTCAATGGCAGAACTGTGTCTATATTCCCGTTGTTGTGTGTTGCAGTTCTTGCAGGCAGTGCGCATTTTAATGGAGTGTGATATGGGAGTTCCCTAATGAAACCTGTCTAAAGCATTATATCAGCTTCCACTTCCGTTGGTCTAAATCACTTTCATATATGTCTTACAGAAGTACAGGGTGAATCGTATAGAACCGGCCCGATGAATTTGCTAATAATTCCGCAGGTGATGCATATAACCACTCACAATTATGACATAATCCATGGGCCATGCTGAGTCAAATGGTGTGCGCATGATCCGGCAAGTGGCAGCCCATATGCTGCAAGGTCAAGGACAATCCTGAAACGTGTCTGCAGTGTGCAGGAGTACACTGGAGTCATGGAGTACACTGTTGAACAGCGAGTGTGTCTTGTGCCCACGTACTGGGTGACAGGCTCAATTGTGAACACACAATTGGAATTCAGGAGGAAGTTTGGAGTGTGCAAGAAGCCAGCAAAATTGACTATAGAGTCCTTGGCTCAAAAATTGGAAAGGACAGGGACACTTTTAAGTGAACGTGGTAAAAACCGTCCAGAAATGCCGGAAGAAACGATTGCAGTTGTGCGGGACAGGTTACTGTAGTCTCCCAAGAAATCATTACAACATCTAAGCCAGGAAACCGGGTATTCTTATTCAACGTGTCAGTGGGCTGCAAAGAAAGCAAATCTTCATCCCTACAAGATCACCAGTGTTGGGGAATTGGGTGATATTGATAAAGATAAATGGGTACGGTACTGTTTATGGTTTCAGGAATCTGTGCACGATAACAGAATTTTTAGATATCACTTGGTTTAGTGATGAAGCATGATCCACCTGTCAGGATATGTAAATGCACAAAATTCCAGGTTCTGGGCATCTGAAAACCCACATGAGATTGCTGAATCACCACTACACCCACAAAAAGTGGGTGTGTGGTGCGCCATTTCTGGTTTACGAATCATTGGACCGATCTTCGACACGACCGTAGACAGCACCTGTATTTTTTATGATTTCTTGCTGCATGATGTGGAACTTACACAGGGTTATTTTCAGCAGGATTCAGCAATGTGCCACATGTCCAACATGTCCATGGAACTGATTGAGAGCTTCTTCCCTGATCACGTCATCTCTAAAAAAATGTGGCCCCCAAAATCCCCTGACCTTACCAGTCCGGATTTTTTTCTCTGGGGTTTACTGAAGGACAGGGTGCATGCAAACAAACCGCATACATTACAGGATTTAAAGGACAACATTTCAGCTGAAATCAGGAGCATCACTGAAGAAACACTGCAGCGAGTCATGGCGAATATGCAAATGCGGGTGGAGACGTGTCTGCTTGAAAACAGCAGACACTTTCAACACCTGCTCTGATCACGGCACACAATCCAAGATAAGATATGTGTAAATTACTTTAATATCTGTATGGTATATTTTATATTACAGCTTATTTCATCGGGCCGGTTCTATATGAATGACCCTGTATTCGAAGTTACAAATATTTGGTAAAGTTTTTGTTTATGTGTGAAATGGACTCTGTATGCTTGCACCTTACCTCTCTTTTGCTTCACCTGATTGAATAAAGTACAGCCAATGATGTCTCTTTCCCGAAACTCATCGTGTAAACCTTGGCTCTCATATCTGCATACACTGTCAGCATGTGGCAGTTTGGATTAATTGACAGGCTTTTCTAAACACCTGGTAACTTGAAGGACTGTTATCATCTTAGGTGTGAGGCCGTGTAGACTGGTAGAATTTTACCACCACTTTGGAGGAACCTGTAAAGTAATAAGACCCTGAAATGGAGGCCTCACATTCGTCAGAAATGTTGATAACATTCTACCAGACTACATGGTGTCACATCCCAGAAGACTGAAATCTTCATGGTTATTGCCATGGGAACATCAGGTCTCAGCTTAGAGAGTACACATTGTAATTGCACATACAGGGAATACACAGTCATGAATAGGTAACAGCTGGTTTTGATTTGACATGGGAGTTAAGTGTAAGATAGCAACTCTTGATTGAGAACTGAGAGTTGCATGTTCTGCGTTTGTTGATACTTCAGAATTGCATGGTGACAGTGAGGAGTCTAGGGCCGGTACTTGGAATGAAGACTACAGCATTCTGAGTTGTAACAGCCGGTAGTTCAGAGACAGCCTGGCGTTTTCAAGGTGACATATTCCTCCTAAACATTGGGCCATCTCCAAACTACACATTGTTACAATGCAGAACCCTGAACTCCTTATCAATGTTGCCATGAAAACATCAAATCAAACAAGGTACTTAAACTATTTGTGTAAGAAACGTAAGTTGTGGCCTGATTGCAGAGGTANAATATAAACATTCTGATGTATGTGAGGATATTTGGATCCTTCTGGGTGGGATATTTGTAATTTATTTTAATAAATACTCTTCAGAGCTGATTATGTCTTTGCTGCTTCATGTTTTAGGAAAACCCGTTATGTGTACACCCTAAGGATGCCTGTACAGATATGGATGACACATGTAAGGGGGNGGCTGCAAAGAAAGCAAATCTTCATCCCTACAAGATCACCAGTGTTGGGGAATTGGGTGATATTGATAAAGATAAATGGGTACGGTACTGTTTATGGTTTCAGGAATCTGTGCACGATAACAGAATTTTTAGATATCACTTGGTTTAGTGATGAAGCATGATCCACCTGTCAGGATATGTAAATGCACAAAATTCCAGGTTCTGGGCATCTGAAAACCCACATGAGATTGCTGAATCACCACTACACCCACAAAAAGTGGGTGTGTGGTGCGCCATTTCTGGTTTACGAATCATTGGACCGATCTTCGACACGACCGTAGACAGCACCTGTATTTTTTATGATTTCTTGCTGCATGATGTGGAACTTACACAGGGTTATTTTCAGCAGGATTCAGCAATGTGCCACATGTCCAACATGTCCATGGAACTGATTGAGAGCTTCTTCCCTGATCACGTCATCTCTAAAAAAATGTGGCCCCCAAAATCCCCTGACCTTACCAGTCCGGATTTTTTTCTCTGGGGTTTACTGAAGGACAGGGTGCATGCAAACAAACCGCATACATTACAGGATTTAAAGGACAACATTTCAGCTGAAATCAGGAGCATCACTGAAGAAACACTGCAGCGAGTCATGGCGAATATGCAAATGCGGGTGGAGACGTGTCTGCTTGAAAACAGCAGACACTTTCAACACCTGCTCTGATCACGGCACACAATCCAAGATAAGATATGTGTAAATTACTTTAATATCTGTATGGTATATTTTATATTACAGCTTATTTCATCGGGCCGGTTCTATATGAATGACCCTGTATTCGAAGTTACAAATATTTGGTAAAGTTTTTGCTTATGTGTGAAATGGACTCTGTATGCTTGCACCTTACCTCTCTTTTGCTTCACCTGATTGAATAAAGTACAGCCAATGATGTCTCTTTCCCGAAACTCATCGTGTAAACCTTGGCTCTCATATCTGCATACACTGTCAGCATGTGGCAGTTTGGATTAATTGACAGGCTTTTCTAAACACCTGGTAACTTGAAGGACTGTTATCATCTTAGGTGTGAGGCCGTGTAGACTGGTAGAATTTTACCACCACTTTGGAGGAACCTGTAAAGTAATAAGACCCTGAAATGGAGGCCTCACATTCGTCAGAAATGTTGATAACATTCTACCAGACTACATGGTGTCACATCCCAGAAGACTGAAATCTTCATGGTTATTGCCATGGGAACATCAGGTCTCAGCTTAGAGAGTACACATTGTAATTGCACATACAGGGAATACACAGTCATGAATAGGTAACAGCTGGTTTTGATTTGACATGGGAGTTAAGTGTAAGATAGCAACTCTTGATTGAGAACTGAGAGTTGCGTGTTCTGCGTTTGTTGATACTTCAGAATTGCATGGTGACAGTGAGGAGTCTAGGGCCGGTACTTGGAATGAAGACTACAGCATTCTGAGTTGTAACAGCCGGTAGTTCAGAGACAGCCTGGCGTTTTCAAGGTGACATATTCCTCCTAAACATTGGGCCATCTCCAAACTACACATTGTTACAATGCAGAACCCTGAACTCCTTATCAATGTTGCCATGAAAACATCAAATCAAACAAGGTACTTAAACTATTTGTGTAAGAAACGTAAGTTGTGGCCTGATTGCAGAGGTAATTGTAAGTGTAAATTGGATAGGAATTACTGCGGCTTTGGGGTTGGTGGGAGTTGTTAAAGCTAATTTTAATTGGTACAATTAGAAATTTCTTGGCAGCTAATTCCTCAATACTCTGACAAGCCATAGTGGACAGTTCAGGCATCGTACTGAAGTAGAATTCTGTAATGTAAGTGTACGGAAGTATGACTGCCAAACTTGGCTAAGGTAAAGACAGATGGGTTGCAGCATAGTGAAAGCAATATGAATCAATTTGTTGGATTGTAACATAATCCATGCAGTGGTACTTGGAAATTCTGTTAGGGGTTAGAATGTTTGACAATATTTTACATTCACTGTATCCAAAAATTATACGGACTGAAACAAATATAAACATTCTGATGTATGTGAGGATATTTGGATCCTTCTGGGTGGGATATTTGTAATTTATTTTAATAAATACTCTTCAGAGCTGATTATGTCTTTGCTGCTTCATGTTTTAGGAAAACCCGTTATGTGTACACCCTAAGGATGCCTGTACAGATATGGATGACACATGTAAGGGGGAATAAGAATTTTATGCACATTGTCAAGGGTTTTATTTGATAGATCCATACAGGTCAGTCAACTCCTTTGATGCAGGAGAGATTTATCTCCTACGAGCCTTGCATTGTCACAGGAAAATGCAGATCAATATAAGCAGAACATTAATGTCCCAAACAGAGTTTGAGGTAAACTTTAGGTCGCCTGAGACTCTATGCATCTATGACAATGCAGCCAGCTGGTTCAGGCTTCATCCTTGCCNCGCCATTTCTGGTTTACGAATCATTGGACCGATCTTCGACACGACCGTAGACAGCACCTGTATTTTTTATGATTTCTTNTGCTTTACAGTGTGTTGTCAGGAAGGACTGGAATTGAATGACCCCAATTGCATCCTGATGGCTTTAATAGAACCAATAAAGAAATAAAAACAAGTTACNACAGGGTTATTTTCAGCAGGATTCAGCAATGTGCCACATGTCCAACATGTCCATGGAACTGATTGAGAGCTTCTTCCCTGATCACGTCATCTCTAAAAAAATGTGGCCCCCAAAATCCCCTGACCTTACCAGTCCGGATTTTTTTCTCTGGGGTTTACTGAAGGACAGGGTGCNCAGAATATGTACAGGGTGTAAATAAAATGAAGTATATGAGAACATAAAACAGCATCTGCAGAAGAGTCACATTGTAAATTCAGCTGACAAATAATTTGAAACTAATTCAGAATTTTAATATGTGGGATGAAAAACATTAAAATATATTTGGTTTGGGAGTAGNCATACATTACAGGATTTAAAGGACAACATTTCAGCTGAAATCAGGAGCATCACTGAAGAAACACTGCAGCGAGTCATGGCGAATATGCAAATGCGGGTGGAGACGTGTNATCTTGAATATTTCAGAACACCAAAACATTAAAATTCAGTGGCATGCTGAAGGAATATATGTTCCTAGTGTTTATGGAGGTAAGTAAAAATGCTTTCACTGCCNTGCTCTGATCACGGCACACAATCCAAGATAAGATATGTGTAAATTACTTTAATATCTGTATGGTATATTTTATATTACAGCTTATTTCATCGGGCCGGTTCTATATNCCCTGAGACCCACACATCTACTGGTTGAATTTGCATATAAAATTATATGCGCCGTGAATTTACGACTATCCTCAGAGCCTGACTGTTTCAANTTATGTGTGAAATGGACTCTGTATGCTTGCACCTTACCTCTCTTTTGCTTCACCTGATTGAATAAAGTACAGCCAATGATGTCTCTTTCCCGAAACTCATCGTGTAAACCTTGGCTCTCATATCTGCATACACTGTCAGCATGTGGCAGTTTGGATTAATTGACAGGCTTTTCTAAACACCTGGTAACTTGAAGGACTGTTATCATCTTAGGTGTGAGGCCGTGTAGACTGGTAGAATTTTACCACCACTTTGGAGGAACCTGTAAAGTAATAAGACCCTGAAATGGAGGCCTCACATTCGTCAGAAATGTTGATAACATTCTACCAGACTACATGGTGTCACATCCCAGAAGACTGAAATCTTCATGGTTATTGCCATGGGAACATCAGGTCTCAGCTTAGAGAGTACACATTGTAATTGCACATACAGGGAATACACAGTCATGAATAGGTAACAGCTGGTTTTGATTTGACATGGGAGTTAAGTGTAAGATAGCAACTCTTGATTGAGAACTGAGAGTTGCGTGTTCTGCGTTTGTTGATACTTCAGAATTGCATGGTGACAGTGAGGAGTCTAGGGCCGGTACTTGGAATGAAGACTACAGCATTCTGAGTTGTAACAGCCGGTAGTTCAGAGACAGCCTGGCGTTTTCAAGGTGACATATTCCTCCTAAACATTGGGCCATCTCCAAACTACACATTGTTACAATGCAGAACCCTGAACTCCTTATCAATGTTGCCATGAAAACATCAAATCAAACAAGGTACTTAAACTATTTGTGTAAGAAACGTAAGTTGTGGCCTGATTGCAGAGGTAATTGTAAGTGTAAATTGGATAGGAATTACTGCGGCTTTGGGGTTGGTGGGAGTTGTTAAAGCTAATTTTAATTGGTACAATTAGAAATTTCTTGGCAGCTAATTCCTCAATACTCTGACAAGCCATAGTGGACAGTTCAGGCATCGTACTGAAGTAGAATTCTGTAATGTAAGTGTACGGAAGTATGACTGCCAAACTTGGCTAAGGTAAAGACAGATGGGTTGCAGCATAGTGAAAGCAATATGAATCAATTTGTTGGATTGTAACATAATCCATGCAGTGGTACTTGGAAATTCTGTTAGGGGTTAGAATGTTTGACAATATTTTACATTCACTGTATCCAAAAATTATACGGACTGAAACAAATATAAACATTCTGATGTATGTGAGGATATTTGGATCCTTCTGGGTGGGATATTTGTAATTTATTTTAATAAATACTCTTCAGAGCTGATTATGTCTTTGCTGCTTCATGTTTTAGGAAAACCCGTTATGTGTACACCCTAAGGATGCCTGTACAGATATGGATGACACATGTAAGGGGGAATAAGAATTTTATGCACATTGTCAAGGGTTTTATTTGATAGATCCATACAGGTCAGTCAACTCCTTTGATGCAGGAGAGATTTATCTCCTACGAGCCTTGCATTGTCACAGGAAAATGCAGATCAATATAAGCAGAACATTAATGTCCCAAACAGAGTTTGAGGTAAACTTTAGGTCGCCTGAGACTCTATGCATCTATGACAATGCAGCCAGCTGGTTCAGGCTTCATCCTTGCCGATACATATTTCTGCTTTACAGTGTGTTGTCAGGAAGGACTGGAATTGAATGACCCCAATTGCATCCTGATGGCTTTAATAGAACCAATAAAGAAATAAAAACAAGTTACGTCCCTGTGCTCAGTGCAGCACTGCACTCAGAATATGTACAGGGTGTAAATAAAATGAAGTATATGAGAACATAAAACAGCATCTGCAGAAGAGTCACATTGTAAATTCAGCTGACAAATAATTTGAAACTAATTCAGAATTTTAATATGTGGGATGAAAAACATTAAAATATATTTGGTTTGGGAGTAGATTCTGGAAATTGTCCTTTTTTAAAAAACCTATCTTGAATATTTCAGAACACCAAAACATTAAAATTCAGTGGCATGCTGAAGGAATATATGTTCCTAGTGTTTATGGAGGTAAGTAAAAATGCTTTCACTGCCATGCATAAAAAGCTGCAGTTGCATTCCCTGTGGACATGAACATGGAACCTTCAGAAGGTAAGTTCGCTGCCCCATCCCTGAGACCCACACATCTACTGGTTGAATTTGCATATAAAATTATATGCGCCGTGAATTTACGACTATCCTCAGAGCCTGACTGTTTCAAGAGCCCACTTTATGATCAGAATAAACGTACAATAAATCCTTACAAGACTCAATATGAATGGTGTGTATAAAGCTTAAGACTTGCTGTACCAAACTGTTTATCCTGTACTGAATACAGCAGTCATGACAAACACTGGATGAATGATCGAGCATGACAAACATTAGCTCAGTGGTAAAGCAGTTGGCTTAATGAAGTNGAAGGACTGTTATCATCTTAGGTGTGAGGCCGTGTAGACTGGTAGAATTTTACCACCACTTTGGAGGAACCTGTAAAGTAATAAGACCCTGAAATGGAGGCCTCACATTCGTCAGAAATGTTGATAACANGTGGGGCCAAGTTAATATAAATAAAATTACTGCTTAATGTACAATTTGCAGGTAAAGTAGGAAATGCAAACAAAACCCTGTACTTTTTGTTCCAGTAACCTTCAACACCTTCAAGAGCACAGCACTGCCGCAGCGNGCACATACAGGGAATACACAGTCATGAATAGGTAACAGCTGGTTTTGATTTGACATGGGAGTTAAGTGTAAGATAGCAACTCTTGATTGAGAACTGAGAGTTGCGTGTTCTGCGTTTGTTGATACTTCAGAATTGCATGGTGACAGTGAGGAGTCTAGGGCCGGTACTTGGAATGAAGACTACAGCATTCTGAGTTGTAACAGCCGGTAGTTCAGAGACAGCCTGGCGTTTTCAAGGTGACATATTCCTCCTAAACATTGGGCCATCTCCAAACTACACATTGTTACAATGCAGAACCCTGAACTCCTTATCAATGTTGCCATGAAAACATCAAATCAAACAAGGTACTTAAACTATTTGTGTAAGAAACGTAAGTTGTGGCCTGATTGCAGAGGTAATTGTAAGTGTAAATTGGATAGGAATTACTGCGGCTTTGGGGTTGGTGGGAGTTGTTAAAGCTAATTTTAATTGGTACAATTAGAAATTTCTTGGCAGCTAATTCCTCAATACTCTGACAAGCCATAGTGGACAGTTCAGGCATCGTACTGAAGTAGAATTCTGTAATGTAAGTGTACGGAAGTATGACTGCCAAACTTGGCTAAGGTAAAGACAGATGGGTTGCAGCATAGTGAAAGCAATATGAATCAATTTGTTGGATTGTAACATAATCCATGCAGTGGTACTTGGAAATTCTGTTAGGGGTTAGAATGTTTGACAATATTTTACATTCACTGTATCCAAAAATTATACGGACTGAAACAAATATAAACATTCTGATGTATGTGAGGATATTTGGATCCTTCTGGGTGGGATATTTGTAATTTATTTTAATAAATACTCTTCAGAGCTGATTATGTCTTTGCTGCTTCATGTTTTAGGAAAACCCGTTATGTGTACACCCTAAGGATGCCTGTACAGATATGGATGACACATGTAAGGGGGAATAAGAATTTTATGCACATTGTCAAGGGTTTTATTTGATAGATCCATACAGGTCAGTCAACTCCTTTGATGCAGGAGAGATTTATCTCCTACGAGCCTTGCATTGTCACAGGAAAATGCAGATCAATATAAGCAGAACATTAATGTCCCAAACAGAGTTTGAGGTAAACTTTAGGTCGCCTGAGACTCTATGCATCTATGACAATGCAGCCAGCTGGTTCAGGCTTCATCCTTGCCGATACATATTTCTGCTTTACAGTGTGTTGTCAGGAAGGACTGGAATTGAATGACCCCAATTGCATCCTGATGGCTTTAATAGAACCAATAAAGAAATAAAAACAAGTTACGTCCCTGTGCTCAGTGCAGCACTGCACTCAGAATATGTACAGGGTGTAAATAAAATGAAGTATATGAGAACATAAAACAGCATCTGCAGAAGAGTCACATTGTAAATTCAGCTGACAAATAATTTGAAACTAATTCAGAATTTTAATATGTGGGATGAAAAACATTAAAATATATTTGGTTTGGGAGTAGATTCTGGAAATTGTCCTTTTTTAAAAAACCTATCTTGAATATTTCAGAACACCAAAACATTAAAATTCAGTGGCATGCTGAAGGAATATATGTTCCTAGTGTTTATGGAGGTAAGTAAAAATGCTTTCACTGCCATGCATAAAAAGCTGCAGTTGCATTCCCTGTGGACATGAACATGGAACCTTCAGAAGGTAAGTTCGCTGCCCCATCCCTGAGACCCACACATCTACTGGTTGAATTTGCATATAAAATTATATGCGCCGTGAATTTACGACTATCCTCAGAGCCTGACTGTTTCAAGAGCCCACTTTATGATCAGAATAAACGTACAATAAATCCTTACAAGACTCAATATGAATGGTGTGTATAAAGCTTAAGACTTGCTGTACCAAACTGTTTATCCTGTACTGAATACAGCAGTCATGACAAACACTGGATGAATGATCGAGCATGACAAACATTAGCTCAGTGGTAAAGCAGTTGGCTTAATGAAGTAATGACCCATCATGAAGGGGTGGGGCCAAGTTAATATAAATAAAATTACTGCTTAATGTACAATTTGCAGGTAAAGTAGGAAATGCAAACAAAACCCTGTACTTTTTGTTCCAGTAACCTTCAACACCTTCAAGAGCACAGCACTGCCGCAGCGCCAAGCTTTTATCCTGGGATTTGATAGTTTGGCTGCAGATGTAGCTGTATTTCTGAAGAAGGGGATGCAGTAGCCAATCAGCATCAACGGTCAGAGCCAAGTTAATATACATGAATCTAGTGCTAATTGCATGACTAAAAGGTGTTGCAAGAAATGTAAACAAACAGTCTAAACTTGTAACCTCCAAAAAGTCTTCAGGAGCTCATTTATAGCCACAGTTTCAAGCTTTTGATGAGGATTACAGAGCAGTGTTGCAGATGAATGTTTATATGTTAGACAGGATATGAGGATAAACTTTGTTTCCTTGATTCACCATCTGTTCAAGCCAAGTGGTCAGTCCTCATTCAGTCAAGTCTTTTAATTTATGCCGCAATGACTGGTCTGAGGAAGATCATTTATTCTGTATTTCTCCTGTGAGGCATCAGCTGACTGGTTGACCACAACCACCTTAATCTCAGGGGTAAAGCACCATTTCCATGTGCAGCAGCCCTCAAGTCCAGTCAAGAGGTTTCATGAAGATACTTTTCTTCCATCACTCTACTTGGTATTTGGTGCAAAGCTTGCTTTGAGTGTAAAGCAGATGAGCCAAGTGGATGAGAACTGACCAGTTGGCTTGCAAAAATGGCTAATTGAAGAAATGAAATTCATCCTCATACCCTATCTAGGAGATAAATGTTCAAGTGTGGTAGTGATGTATAAATCCTCATCAGAAATTTCACAGCTTTGGCCTAAAATGTGCTCTTGAAGGTTTTAGAGGTTATAAGATCAAAACAATCAGGGTTATATATACATTTCTTGTATCTTCAAAATATTTGCATTTAGCACTACATTCATGTTGGCCCCTGACCATTGATGCTTATTGCCTACTGTAACTCATTTTTCGGAAATATGGCAACATTTGCAGCCAGATGCCCAGAGCTGCAACATGGTTTGCGTTCTTGAATGTCAAAAAATTCCGGGTTTTTGTTTACATTTCGTGCTATACCTATAAGTGGTGCAGTTGGCAAGGAAATCATGTGGACTTATGTGCCCCCGCCCCTTAATGTTGGTTGGCAACACTGTCGCAGCCATTAAATGGCCGGGGTGTTGGGGGTGCGATGGTTAAGTTCTTTTACCCCCCCCCTGGAGGCGTGGTTTCATTTACTGTACCCATAGATTGTGCAGTAAGCACATAAGCGGAACCGCCCCTTAATGCTGATTGGCTACTCATTACTCATGGTCGTGTAATTGCCGCATGTTCGTGTTCCTGCCGCGGTGCATCGGAAAGTACCTGGTTTTTGTTTACATTTTGCCGCGCTGCATAGGAAAGTACCGGGTTTTTGTTTACATTTTGCCGCGGTGCAACGGAAAGTAGCCGGTGTTAACGAAAAGTTCCGGGGTTTGTTTACATTTCTTGCTGTATGCACAAAATCTGTAAAAGTACTGTCCTGCTTCGGGTTTTCCAAATAACCTCCGGGTTTTCACAAAAACCAATCAGGTTTTCAGAAAAACCTTCCGGGTTTTCCAAGTAACCGGGTTTTGTTTACATTTCTTGCTGTAAGCACAAAATGTGCTCAAAGACTGTGTTGCTCCGGGTTTTCAGAATAACCACCGGGTTTTCCAAATAACCATAGACCATTAAAACGNCAACAACATAACAGTCAAGGTTAAAATTACCTAGCTACATGTTTCAGCTTTTTAAAGTCATCATCAGGCAAAACACATGATTATTATATTCACACATTATTAGTAATCATGTGTTTTGCCTGATGATGGCTTAAAAAAGCCGAAACATGTAGCTGGGTAATTTTAACCTTGACTGTTATGTTGTTGTGTTATGACGGACTCCAGAAAGAATTGTATATAATAACACAACAGGATTCATTAATGAATCATATTGTGTCTACAGTCGCAATATGAAATCAGGTCATCCACAAACAGCAGTTTCATTTGGCTGATGATACGGGATATGATACTGTGTAGGTTGGTAGAAGTTTAATGACATTTCAGAGGAACACACTGCCTTCAGCTTTAATTTTCCATCCTGAAGATGGAGGAAGTATATTTGTCTGCAGTGTTGGTTAAAACAAATTTTGGAGCATTACAGTTCAGAAGACTTATTCTCAATAATACTGCTGAAAAGTCAGGATGTGATAGAATGTACGTAGCAGGTCTACCCTTATGAAGGTGGCAGTACGTTCCTCCAAAATGTTGGCACTCCTACCCACCTACACAGCGTCACTTCCAAATAACTCATGATCACTACCATGAATATCTCGTATCTCATACGTAACACTGGTGTTTGTAGATGACTGTACTTCCATTTATGAACAAGAAATACTGGCACACTACAACAATACATTAATTGTGCTGTACTGATTAAACTGAACTGTGATCAGTTCAGATGAATTATGTTACATAATGAAATTATTTCTCAGAGCATTGTTTGAACAAGTCTTCATCACAGTAGTGAGTCTGTTAGGAAATCTGTACAAATTAATAAGAAATGGCAAGTCTACCACTGCAACCATTTCAAGCTATTGGCCTGACACTTCAGTGGCCCTGCATGGGCTCCAACTGCACGCGGCTACCTCAACTTTACAGTTAAACTTTTAGTGCATACAAACATATTATGAAATTAAAACATTTTTATATCATTTTCCTAAAGCTGATATACATTTAAATACTACACCAAGTGAAACTATTTTATTGTATCTTTCTCAGCAGGATACTGACAGTAAAGAAACAAAATCTTCAGTTTCTTTTGATAGGTGTGTCATACCTTTTGTCTGAAAAATTAATCACCTATGGTAAGGACAGATAGTAACGACCATCAATAACAATAAGCAGACTGCTTTGAGTGAGAATGTTACAAACTGAAATCCACTCCACACATAATTCCAGCCTTGCAAGTAACCACACTAACTGAACAACAAATTCTGCATGCACCTAATGGAGTGGGTGTACATATTTTAACTTATAATCCCTATTTCATGAAGAAATACCTAAATGTAACAACTTTTGTAATAATGTGATTTCAAGTTAATTTCTATTAACAAAGACTAAAACATATTCAAACTGTCTTAAATAATTAGGTGGCTGGAATGAATGTCACTGAGGATATCAACTTAAATTTATACACTACTGATATCAAGAAAAATGTATCTAATATTATATTTAAGCATCCTGTTGCACTCTACACGATAA